GAGCAGGGAGCCCGATGCGGGACTCGATCCCGGGACTCCAGGATCATGACCTGAGCCGAAGGCAGTCGCTTAACCAACTGAGCCACCCAGGCACCCCAAGTCTTGGCATTTTAAAAAATGTATTCCTGGGGTGCCTGACTGGCTCCATCGGTAGAGCATGCGACTCTTGATCTTGGGATTGTGGGTTTGAGCCCCACATTGGATGTAGAGATTACTTAAAATCTTAAAAAAAATGTATTTCTGAGTATTCTTTAAATGTTTACTTACTGTTTAAAGTTTTATTTATTTAAATGATGTCTCTACTCCACATGGGGCTCAAACTCACGACCCCAAGATCAAGAGTTGCACTCTCTTCTGACTGAGCCAGCCAGGTGCCCCTCATTTTTTTAAGTAAGCTCTGTGCCCCTTGTGGGGTTTGAACTCATGATCCTGAGATCAAGAGTTGCATGATCTACTGACTGAGCCAGCCAGTCGTCCCATGTTTACTTATTTTTATTGTGGGAAAATCTATATAACAAAAAGTTTTGTCACTGTAACCATTAAGTAAACCATTACGTTCAGTGGCATTAACTACATTTACAAAATGTTGTGCAACTGTCTCCATTATCTATTTACAAAATTTTTCCTCTGGTAATTGTCCTCTCCCTGCCCCCCCCCCCCAAGCTTTATATATAATCGACATACAACACTGTATAAATTTAAGGTGTACAGTGTATTAATTTGATACAGTTATATATTGCAAAATGATTACTAGCGTAGTGTTAAATTAACACTCTCATTATATCCCATAATTACCATTTCTTTTTTGTGGTGAGAACATTTAAGGGGTGCCTGGTGGCTCGGTTAAGTGGCTGCCTTCGGCTTAGGTCATGATCCCAGGGTTCCGGGATTGAGCACCACATTGGGCTCCTTGCTCAGCAGGGAGTCTGCTTCTCCCTCTCCTGCCTGCCAGTCCCCCTCCTTGTGCTCTCTTTCTCTGGCAAATAAATAAAAATAAAACTAAAAAAAAAGTATTAAAAGAACATTTAAGATCTATGCTCTTAGCAGCTTTCAAGTGTATGATATAGTATTACTAACTATAATCACCACACTGTACGTTAGGCCATCAGAACTTATTTTCTTGTACTTGGAAATTTGTACCCTATAACGAACATCTCCCCATTTTCCCACTCTCAAGCCCCTGATAACCACCATTCTCTATTTATATGAGTTCAGGTTTTTTATTATTTTTTATTATTATTTTTTAAAGATTTTATTTATTTA